TCTGTACATAGTCAAATTCAGGAATAGTTTTCTGTGCATTTTACACATGCCTCTTGAATAACTGAATACATGTATTATAAAAATAATATCTACTGATAATAACCAAATAAAAAAAAGTATGATTTCTTTAAAGTGTTCAAGTTCAATAAAGTTATTTTTTATATCAGGAACTCTTACTTTGTCAGATTATTAGTTACATTAATTCGAATTCATTTTATATGTATGTTATCATTGAGTGCCTCTACAAATAAACATCCAATACATGAAGAATTCTGCAGGTAAGACGTCTGAAATGACATCTGTGAATGTGAGCTAATAATAATGGCATAAATATCACCACTATATATACGTAAACTCTTTTATAGGATATATATATCTATGAATAATGCATGAACGTAATCTAATGACTGCTGTAAATGTCTAACAGAGAGAGCGTGTCTTCTGAAGTCTGGTCTCGCTCTGTGTTGAAGCAGCGTTTCGCCACAGAAGCGCGCGTGTAACACAGCCACGTGTGTCACTCACCGTCTGGCGGACTTCCTGAGCCGTTCCGGTGGGATGGGCAACAGCAACTTCGTCCCGACTAACGTGGGCTCCCAAGCATTCGGCCGTCGGAGGAGAAACTCGCGGATGTGAGCGGCTCCAGTCATGCGGGGTATGAAAATGCTTTTGAGAGTCTTTTCTGTATGTCTTGTGGGCACGAGTCCCTGATTGTTTTTATTTTTATTTATTTATTTTTTTTTCTGTTTCAGCTGTGAACTCGGGGCCAATTCATTTTCAATCGGAGAGAACAGAACAACTACAGCTACAGAAATCGTCTCACTTTCCAAGCTGAAATAGCGGTATTGATCTCTCTCAAGGCGGAATTTTAAAAATGCACTTAAGCACCTGTGTTATATTATTCCTTATGTATTGACAGTGTCTAAAATACAAAGAAATCTAGATTTTTATACAAAATAAATCAGATTCATAAAGATATTGAGTGTTTATTCTCCATCTCTGTGAGGGCAGAATAAATCCAGCCTGATCAAGACTTGAGGACGGCTGTGTATATGTGCCTACTTGCTTGTGTAGGTTGTGATACTAAATGGGAAATACTAGATATTAACTTTGTGATTGTTACGAACTTCTGAGAAGATTAAATGTATTGTGGATCCATCTGAGTGAAGGCATTAGTGTTTGCATTTCGGAAGCCGTAGAAAAGGCTGCTTTGGGAGAGCATCTGTTCTGTTCTCACTCAGATTTCTAAACAAACAGGTGAGACCTGCTGAACTGCCCACATACAAAGAACCCCACAGGACTCACAAACATGACTTCATTCAGCATCCTCTCTCTAACTGAATCGCATGGTATCGTTTCACATCTGCGGGGTCTGTTATAAACCTGTAGCAGGTGAAGATAAGGGCCATTAGCATCAGGAAATGACAAAACAATATAAAACTATTGAGTGAACACCAAAATGGCTTGGACTTGATATAATCCTGTTATAATAGAGCTTGTTACAGCTTTGCTGACATTGTGGTTTTAAAATGCATTAGCTGAACCATCAAATAGCTACCTTTGATCATTCATCAAGTCCTTTCAGTTTAGACCTTTCCTGATCTGTCCAGTTCATTCACTCTCAGAAAAAAAGGTACAATAGTTATCACTGAGGTGGTACCTCTTCAAAAGGCACAACTTTGTACCTAAAGAGTCCATATTGGTACCTTAAAGGTACATATTAGTACCTAAAGTGTACATATTAGTACCTAAAAGGTACAAAAGTGTACCTTTTGAAAAGGTACCGCCCCAGTGACAGCTTTTGTACCTTTTTTTCTGAGTGTTCAAACTTGAGAAAGTGTTGTACCATCATCGTCCAACAGATGGCAGAATGAGTCTCATTTTAAAAGCCTGCTTTTAAAAAAATGTTTTACTTTAAAACGAATGGTTTTGATGGTTATTTAAAAATAGATATGAAGTTGCTGATATTATGCAGCCAATTGAAACAAACCCAAGAAATCCTTAGTGATAGAAGTATTACTAAAGGTGTTCCCAACTTCAGGGGTTTGTTTCAACTGCTCTCTATGGCACGGTTCTCTCTTCATATTGTGTCTGTGGGATTTTTTCACCTGTTTCACCTGTTTTTCACCAACAAGTGAAAACACAGGAGCTGAGGATCATTCATGTCTGCAACACAAACACTGGAGGATGATGCACAAGTTTAATATCTGAACATATCCTCTTTAGAAAGAACTGTTTTTCAAAAGCATAAATAAAATACTCTTGTCGTTTGTCCATGTTTCCAGTGTCTCTTTTATTGTGTCGAGAATGACAAAAATAATCCTTCAGATTTCTGATGACTTTTTCTGATGATTTGAAAAGTACATCAACGTATAACAAACATCAATTCAACTTAAAACACTTTGCTAGAGAGTAATTTGTAATTCCTAAACCGCAGAACATATACAGCATCTGTAATCAGAGCTGGGTAGATTACTTACAAATTGTAGTCCATTACTGATTCCAAATTACAGGACAAAAATTGTAGTTAGTAATGCACTCCATTACATTACATATTTTAGGTAATATAACAAAACTACTGTTTGATTACTTTTGACCTAACTTGTTTATCACATTGATTTAAACAGGATAACCTTGTACCATATTGATTTAAAAAATACAAGGAGGAAAAAAAAAATGTCCATTTATTGTTAGGTAATAACGTTGTTGGGGAACCCTAATATTAGCAACATGAAATGCATTAAACATGCAGTTTCCCAAACACATGAGTTTAATGAAAAGCTAATAATTAATTCAATTATAAAAATGTAAAATTAAAATAAATCATTTTAAAACAAATAAACAATTAATGTGTCCATGATGCAATGTTAAAACAGTTCTTAAACCTGAAATGATTTCTGTAAATTCAGTAGTTAAATGCTGTGTAGCCACCTGACTAATGACTGGTCTTTTATGAATGTCCACAAAACTGGAAGACTTTCTGAGTGTATATAAACGGTAGGCTATGTTAGAAAGGAACATTTGAAGGAATTAAGGATTCGATGAATTACGAATAATTATGAATAATTTATTGTTATTGTGTGAATAATATTTAATCATGTAATCAATAAAAAAGTAACTGATTACGAGTATTTTAACAATTAATTTAATATAATTACAAGTACTTAATTTTTGGAATCTGATTACATAATCCAGATTACATGTAATCAGTTACTACAAACTTATGTCTGTAATTATGCATTGAGGTACTTAATCAGTTTGTTCATTTGAAATAAAAATGTGAAAAAAGGAATGGTTTTCCTGCACACATACTGTTGCAGAAGAAAAACAAAGAGGAAAGATATGTACTTCTGGTGTGCTTGTGGTTAATGGCAATTTACTGGAAGTTGGTGTACTTTGAGCACATTATATAACCCAAAATTATAGCCATTATTTCAAAGAAATTTATTTTTCACTAGTTGTTTTTACGGTCTCCATGCAATCCATTTGGATGAACTCAGCTGCGGAGGCTCTTGCGGTATCCACATGGAAAGTTTGCATGGAAGATCGTGGCAGGCTTGAAATCAGGTTTTTTTTCTGTTCTTCTCTTTTTTGCGGGGTTTTGTAATATTCTCAGTGATGTTCCTAGCGAGCCACTGAAGAGAGCGCTCTTAATAGTGAACAGCTGTTTGTCATTTAGTCATTGAAGTTGAAAATAAATCGTAACAGTGTGAGCAAGGATCTCCTTCTTTATAAACACCCAGAGAGTCACTCGTCTTTTTCAGTAAGCCATAAAAGTGCAAAGGGTCATATTTCTACCCCCTTTTTTTTTTTGTATATTTCAGCATCAAGGTCTGCATGAACATCTAAATGTGCTTTTGAACTGATGAGTTCCAGTGAAATGGACTATGCGTTCCTCAGCATGTGCTGTCTTTTGTTTTCATAGGCCTTTTTTTTCATGGCTGATTTTTCCACAGAGTAGCTGAGGCGAAATCAGATACCCTGAAAGTTTAATGGTAAAAGTCTAGGAATAACAGCCCAGTCAGCTCCTCCCAAAATCTCCCCTCTTCTGAGATTTTTCAAAAAACAGTCGTCTTGTCACATAAAAAACAAAAAACGAAAAGTTTTCCTTCCCATCTCAGCAGCAGCTCTGCCTGCTGGCTCTCCTCACTGTTTTCCCCAGCGTCTGTTACCTCTCTCGTCCCTCCCCTATTCCACATCTGGATTCCAGGCCCACATTTATTTATGTGACTCGAGTTGTTTTTAAGGGAGTTTAAAGTTCTTAACCATGTACCGTTGGCAGCTGGGCTGGATCCGATGAAGTCTACAATTACACTTTACCATAGCCGGTCACTCCACAATTACATGTTTGACCACAGAATGTCTTGAAAAGCACAACCCTGCCGCTCATATGGCAGACAGAAATAGACTGGTTTCGTGTCTGGTTGGACTTTTGCCCAGCAGAAACTATGCTGCTTGACTGACGAAGAGATGTGGGCTCAGCTCATTTCAGGCTATAGCCACGTCTAGCGAGTCCCAGATCCGCAGTGAACATCGCACAGTGGAGACTCTCAAGACCAAATGTGCTGCCTTACTGACTGGAAACTGCAAACTTTGAGAAACTGACAAAGTGCCCTGGTAAGTGTTGCTTCTTTTTTCATGCGCTTAGTTTATAGAGGTTTTTCTTCTCGAATGCCGTGACCCCCTGAACCCAATGTGTGTGGGACAGTTTATGGAGCAGCATCATCAGCGTAAATCATCCAGTCTGATATTTGACCAGTGTGGCAGATCTGTTTTCCTGTGCAATATTTCAAATGTCTCATGTCTGGTGATGGGAGCTTTAAACCTAGATTCATTAATATAGTACCCTGTCCACTTGTCTTGAATTCATTAGTCACACCATTATTGTGCTCTACAGGTGCATTTAAAAATGTTGAGCTCTCAAATTCTGGCTGCTGCTGTCGAGCTGATGGGCGTTTATGGAAGCATCACACATGTGGAGATTCTAGTGCTAATCACAGAACTGGAAGAGCAGAACCGTTTAATGAGCATCTAGAGATGAGCGAGGAGACTCGAGCGTCTCCACTGACTCAAACAAATGCATCCGTGGATTTAAATGGCTCAGGGATACTGTTACTCCCCTCGATCCACACAGAAAGACTCTTTGTTTTATGAGAGTTAGGCCTCAAGTCAAACTCAGCCATGCAGGCTTGTAGTCAGCATTTTTCTCCAAACCCAAAGTGGAGGTTTACAGCCTGCAAAACGTCTTCATAAGCAGTTTTAAAGTAGCTGGTCTGTATATTGTGGGTGGAGGAGGAGTGCTAAGAGTTCATCATCAGTTTCATGCAGGATAGCCTAGTCTACATTTATATCTGCAAATGCCGTTTGAGCTTCTGTTTTGTGCTGTATCCGAAATTCAGTCTGGCCTTCCATCAGTCTGGAGGTCAGAGAATTACTGAATCAAAAGCAAAATATTCATCCAGAAAGCAGGATTAGCAACTAAATTGTTACGTTAACTCAGCTGTTAAGATCAAAAGTAACACTTTATTTTGACGGTCCCTTTTGAACATTCTGTTGACAATAACGTTGCACCTACATATCTACTAACTCTCATCAGAGTATTAGTAGACTGCTTTCTTAATATCTGCTAACTCTTTATTGTCATGGTCTCCCAACAGACATTCTACTCACTATAAGTAACTTTGCAAGTACGTCAAATTATTCTAACCAGTCTACTAATACTCTACTAATACTCTAATGAGAGTTAGTAGACATGACGGTGCAATGTTACTTATAGTCAACAGAATGTGTTAAAGGGACCATCAAAATAAAGTAGTTAGTAACAATAACGGCTTTGTACCAGAGGTTATGTACCAGGGTACATTTACTTCAGGTAAACACCGCTCAGCTTCAGAGGTATTTGATGCATATGTGCACTTTTGATGAGGCTCCAACTGACTTGACACCACAGATTACACATGATATTGTAATTATAAAACATGATACAATTCCAAAGCTTCTGTTTTTTCTCTTTTTTTTTCAGCAGGACAGTTTCTGTATTATATATTCTCAAGGTGTCAGACTGCAGAAGAGGAAAACTGACCATGCGTGTTTTACAAAACAGCAAACATTCTGTAGGTTAGCTAAATGGCAGCATCACTTCTTTAGGCTATTGCTAGCATGAATTGCAGAAAGTTCACATCAATGATATAAAACGAAACAAACATAAAATCACAAAGTTTGTTACATTAATTTATAATATTATCTACATTATTGATAATATAACATTGTTACTTGTTGCTTCTCTCTGATCACCTTGTGTGGGTCGAAATCAGTCCTTTTTATTTATTTATGTGGCCAGACAGTCTCCAGCTGCTGAACTAACCGCAGAGTAAAGCTGAAGGCTTAAGTGTAGGTGTGTCTGCCTCCACAGCTTTACCTTCTTTAAAATCACTGTTAAATTTGTTTTAACTAGAAAATTCAAAAAACCTGAATGAATTGTCCCTTGTGAAAAAAGGAGTACACTTTAGCATGCTTTTAAAAAGAGTGCTTATTAAAGAAATAGGCTACTTTAAAGGTGCTATATATGATTTTTACAAATATATAGAATCAGCAAACAGCAGTTTGCCGTGTAAAGATGTAGATTATTAATGACATCCTAGCAGACAGTGCTGTCAGGACCCCTCTGCGTGGCTGTAATCCCAGTTTTTCTGTTGAGTTTTCGGGGGCGCGTGTTTGTTTTTGTCTGAGATGCGGTGCTCCTGTGCGACATCTAGAGGTTGAAAAATCTCATATAGCACCTTTAAAGAATGTGCTTCAGTGCAAATTGAAAGTAATGTTTTTGGACACTGAATGGCATTTTAATTGCAATTAAATGGAAATGTATTATAGTTTAAATTTATATTAAACACAGTTAGTTGAACTACTGTATATAATTTATAATTACTTCTATTGTCTTTTAAATATTGGTAAAGTGTATTATCGAATGTACTGACAAGCACTTATGATAACTAAAACGTACTTTAATGTCATTTCTATTGAAACTTTTATATAATGTGTTTAAATGCAGTGGTGGACAGTAACGGAGTAGCTTTACTTCGTTACTGTACTTAAGTACATTTTTCAAGTATCTGTACTTTACTGGAGTCGTTTTATTTTGAGTAACTTTTACTTTTACTTCACTACACTCCAAAGCATAAGATCTTACTTTTTACTTCACTACATTTCATAAAACTTATCGTTACTCCTTATAATATATCACGAGCTCCGAGACGCATATAATTATATTTTCCTTAAAATGTTCTATCTAACTTCAGGCCTTCATGTCATATACAGTATAACTGTGATGTTCTGCAAAACAACAAGCTTTAAAACACTTTTTTCTTACTGGTGAAAATCAAATCTGTTGTCTCTCAGGTACACTGCAGTGTAAGCTTCATAGTGAACATTACTACATCACTCTCGTCAACGTAGTCCATATCAACAACAAAAATATATCTCGACTCCATATAGTGGTTATTTTGGGAAAATCCCAGGTATTTTGAGCAGTAGGATTATAAAAATATGTGCTAATATAAAATTAAATTAAGTAGACTATATAAAATTTCAAAATAAATCTATCAGTACTTTTTTACTTAAGTAATAAAAAATTGAGTACTTTTGTACTTTCACTTGAGTAAAATTGAAAAAGGAGTACTTTTACTGGAGTAATATTTTATTATACGTATCTGTACTTTTACTCAAGTACTTGATTTACTTCGTCCACCACTGACAAAAACCAGCAACTCTAGAAGAAATGTTGTAGCAGTTAACATTTTTGACTCAAAGTAACAATAGCAATCAATTCAATCTGACATCAAAGGAAAAGTTTACCCCACTTTGTCATGTCAAATGAACTTGGTAAACAGTAACTATTAAAGCTTACCTGAGCCCAAAACGTGATGGCATCCACAACATGAGTGACAACCACCAGTTCCACTGGATCAATAAAAACAATAAGCAAAGTTCATTGATCAAACATTAGCTCGTAGGTAACGTTAAAACCACGAGAAAAGTGGCTACCCAGCTAACAGGGAACGTTCCCATAACTTTCACTAACGTTATGTAAATGTTAGAAAAAAACGTTCCTGACAACTCATTTTTGTTAGCTGGGTACTTACTTGTTTCAGGCTGAATCACGGACTGATCCATGAGATTTGCCTAAAGTCAACAACATGGCAGCCATTATATAAGAAGTTTTAGCTTTCAGCGGGGTTCTAATGATAGTAATTTGAGTTTTATTTTGAATATGAAGTCGACTTACCAACATTTATCGACCTGCTACTGAAATGTCCCTTGCTAGTCCACAGATCGATCAAAATCGGTCAATTGCGGTTTGTTCTGTAAGTTAAATTGCTTGTGGATAGCGAGAAATATACTGGCAATAAGTTCACTCTGGTAATAATGATGCAAACTGCTCAGTTTTAAGAATGATTAAAGTCTCCAAAGTTTAATTAACTTAGTTGTCACGTTCTCTTGTAGCTTTAGTGTTTTGTCGTTCTAAGTAAATGAAGCATACACGTTTTTTTTTAATGCTAATATTGCCACTGGGTAATATTTTAATTTTAACTACAACTGAACATTAATTTAGGTAAATGTAAAACAACAATTTAGAACCTTAATAAAAAAAATTTTTTTTTTTTTAAATCTCGTCTTTGTATTAGTGACGTCCGTTTGCGAACAATTCTGATCTTTAAAAAAAAAAACTCGGATCTTTTCAATGAATCATTTGAATCGATCTGAACTAACCGATGAAGAATCATATCCAAGCAACTTCACAAATCAACAACTGAAAACTGAATGAGCCAATTATTGATGCATGAAATTGAGACACATGCAGTTAAACCGGCTTATTGATATCCAGATTCTTATTGATACAACTTTAATACGATAAACAGCAATATGCGCATAAATATGGCTTCGAAAGAATCGATTTGTGAATTTTAATTTAAATAATATTGGTATTTTTTGAGAAAATCCCAGGTATTTTGAGCAGTAGGATTATAAAAAATATGTGCTAATATAAAATTAAATTAAGTAGACTATATAAAATTTCAAAATAAATCTATATATCAGCCCTTTTTTCTTAAGTACATAAAAAAGCGAATACTTTTGTACTTTCACTCGAGTAAAATTGAAAAAGGAGTACTTTTACTTTTACTGGAGTAATATTTTATTATACGTATCTGTACTTTTACTCAAGTACTTGATTTGTGTACTTCGTCCACCACTGTTTAAATGTATTTATAATTACACTACAGTTCAAATCAAGTATGCATACATGTGCTTTAGCATGTTAGTCACATCAAAATAAGTACTTCTTTAAAGCACGACAAAAGATTATTAAAAGAAAAGTTCACCCAAAAAAAACAAAAAAAACAAAAAAAATAGCTGAAAAGGTACTCACCCTCAGGCCATCCAAAATGTAGATGAGTTTGTTTTTGGGTGCGTGTATATTGTGAATTAGGCAGACCCCTTGATTTAAAATGTACTTTAAAGAAGAAACTTATAATTTGACATACAAAAGAGTACAAAACAAAATCATGAAAGGTGATAAGAATTGTGGACCAGAGATAATTGTGGACTACTGACCTGTGGAGAAACACTGCTTTTGCTAACATTGACATTTGCCCATTCTAGCTCCTTTCTTTTTCTATGGATTGAGTGGAAAACCCGAATCAACACTCAATAGCATGTCTAAAACAGGAAAGTACAGCTGTTGGGCCTATTTCTGTTTTATACTCTGTGTGCTGGTTGTTTGCTATTCTCTTTGTCTCAGGGAGCTTGTGACAACACACCAGTCAAAGACAGCGTGAGTTTGCGTTCACCCTCATTGCAGGAATGTCAAGTGACTGACAGAATGTTTCAGTTTCCTTCTGTGTTTCCTCCCACTTTTCATCGGTTCTCATACTGATAATTGAGGCCTGTGTGCATTGCAATATATATTATATTTTCATACTTAAGTTTTGTTTTGTTTTTTTCTAAAAATTGAGAAA